TGTTCCTCGGACTCCTGAACCTTGACACGAAGAATTTCCGGCATCTTGTCCAGGGTCAAACCAAATGTTTTTTGAACAAAAGATTCAACATTCTTCACATCCTCTGAGTTCTCCTGCGTAGCGCAATGACAGAACAAGATCAAACTGGCCAAAAAAGCGCCCTTGTCAGCCTTCGTCTGTGCTTCCTTTTCAAAGGCTTCGCACTTCTTAAGCACTTCCTTCAAATCATCACTCCTTGTGGTGGAAAAATGCTTCGTGCATGTTTTGATTCTCTCAACCAAGTGAAGAATTTCTCGTCTGCAACCTTTGAACTCGTCAATGTCTTTCTGGACCTCATCTTCTGCCTCATCCTTGAAGATCCATTCGACTGAATCCATCGCCCAATCGTTCATGACACACTTCTCAACATCTTCGAACTTCTCCACAAAACGGTCCAAAGCCGGCAGCATGCTCTCCTGAGTTGCGGAAACAGCCTTCTCCAAGCCACTTGTGTATGCCTTCATGAAGTTGGTGCAAGATTGGTTGACACCTGCCAGCAAGTCTGCGTCTTGCTTTTGCAGCTCGGAGTCTTCATTCAGCAAAGAGTGCGCAGACTCAAACAATTGCATCTTGGGAAAGAATGCAATCAAGTCTGCCTCATCACTTTCCAAGTTGGAGATCTCCATTGTCCAATCCGTGTCGAGAAGGACTGACAGGGAAGCCAGATCTTCTGGAAGGAAGGAATGCTCCTTGCCTTTCAGCTCCTTGTTCACCAGCACTGTCATAAACAGAGCTCGGTGCAGCCGAAGACATCGTGCAAGCAGTGCCTTTGCCGACGCTGCTGTCTTAGCAATGCTTGCACCCAGAGAATCTGACTCTTTGCCTTCACGTTTTCCAACTTGTCCTATGAGCTTGTCGCAATCGTCCACATATGTTTTCAAGGCGATTGCCTGGTCCAAAGGCGCTTCACCTGCCAACTTCAAGGTACTTGTTCGAGTAACCCACTCGAGAAGAAAGACAAAGATCGTTTGATCGCGCTGTCCGAAATCACCGCAAGGAAATCTGGAGTGGATGAAGCCTGCCAAAGTCTCAACATAGATCAACCAGGAAGTTCCGAACATAATTGCATTGAACAAAATTAGCATTGCAACCAAACTTTACATAATGGAACTAAAAACTATAGATTCAAAACTCAAACAAGATGTTCTCTGTGTTTATTTGAGTTTTGAATAGTTTTGAAACAGGGAAAAATAAACTTCAAGTCGAGCAACATCTCAACAAGAAAGCCTGGTCCACAGACTCTGGCATTGAAGGCAACGCAATGACACCGTTGTTGAACGTTTTGACTGTCTCAGCGCTGGATGTCTTCTCGGGAATCAGAAGCGTTCGATCACCCACTTCAGCAAGCTCATCGAAGATGGAACTGAACAACCATTCTGGGCACAAAGTTTCATGTGCCCATTTGTGCACCTTTGCAATTCCCGACTGCAAAGTCTTGAGGCCTGTGTCTCCAAGTTCGTTCGTCAATTTCTTGAGCTCTTCAGAGAGAACTGCAAAACTGTTCGCTTCACTTTGCAAGATTTCTTTGCACTTGGACAAGTCAGTCGGAGATTGTGACAAAGCTGCGACCTCTTCCATCTTTTCAGCAAAGGAAGCAGCCTTCTTCTCCAAAACCTTGCTCACTGCGACGCCCTTGTATGTGGATAGAAGCTTCTGCCAGTGTTTCCTGCCAACATCAAAGAAAATCCAAACAACTGCAAACCCGGTCAAAGAATGAAAACACACTAAAGATTTTAGTCAGACTGAAATCAAGAGCTTAAAGATGTGTTTTTACAATTATAATTTGCTCAAGTTGGAATCTGCAGTGAGGAAGCGGCACTGATATCTGAGACACAGCGTCCCTTTTTGCCCAGCAATTTCTCTGTCTATTCTTGACAATATTCACGGCAAGGGCCAAAATAGCCACGGCCATGATTGATGAATTACTTGTCAAATTGTTACATTATCGATATGAATTTCTGCTGATGCAAATTTTGCAGTAAGCCCGTCCGTCTGCTGCTTACTGTTCACTTCTCAAGTCAAGCCTGCAGCCTTTCGCCAGTCAGAAACAAAATGCCAGCTTTGACACAACCAGGCGCTCAGGCAATCAAAATCAAAACAGCATCACTGGCAAACCAGTGGTGTGGGCCATGGGAATATTTGGCATGGGCCTTGCCTGGGTCCAAAACCAATCCAAAATATCAGATAATTATTATATAATAAAGGACTGATAAGGACTGCACTTTGGAGTTTTTCAGCGCTCTCAAAAACTCTTTGAAGCTGGTTGCACCCCAGTCACAAGCCCCATCCAACCAATGAGCCATCACTATGAGAGCTTGGAACGCGTTGCGTTCCACAAGGCTTCACTAGTCTTCACTCACATCCTGCGGATTTTGTGAAACGAGAGGCCACCGAACTCTATGGTAGACAATCTCGCCAGCATCCATCCACGAGCCCTCATGTGCTTCTGGAGGAACCTTGCCCAAGGTTTCCCCTGAATGGTCATGGTCATGGTCTCTACAAATCTGACTAGCGCAGTATCTGAATAACCTTTTTTAAAGTCACATCACGTCACATCCCCATGAACTTTCTGCAAAAAAAATGCTTGCCCTGACCAGTAACCGATGCCACGACTCAAAGTTTGGATTCTCTGTGCCCTGAACGACCCCTTCCAAGACATCCAACCAAGCCGATTCAGCACCTCGTAGATCCTCGAAAAGTTTTCTCTTCAAGGTGCAAGTCAGTGGATGCTTGCAAAAGAGCACACGTGCATCGTTCTTGTACCATGCCATTGTCCGCTTGCCCTTTGGAATCACCTCCAAGGAAACAACCATTGAAATGCAGAAATACGAATCCCCATTTTTTTGACACACTCTTTGGCCATCAAATGCGTGGACAAAACATTACAAAGTATCATAATCATGTCTATACAATATTATTTGTAAATTTAAATTAGTGTCAATGGTTATCATATTCCTCCATGGTCCAGGGCGCATGCCTGCTGACCATGTTGACTCCAAAATACTCTACAACGAAAATTGAAAAAATGACCCGACAATACAATTCCAAAAGACAAGGTGCTCTTGTCTTCTTCGCCTCTGCTGCTCTGGGTCCGACATGAATCACCCCATCGAGATCACCGGGGTTGGAATTGTCAGCATGGGCTGCTGCAGCAGCCACTGAAGGAGGATTCGGTGCTGCTCCACCAGCGTCCATCTCTACAGGAATGTCATCATCGATGCCATCATCGATGTCATCGACCACCTCCCAATCATCCCAGGAGGAAGCGCCAACACCATCACCATCAAGTGCTACAGTGCTGGCTGTGTCATCAGTGCTTCCACTGCCTCTGCTGGTATGGGTAGCGGGATGGGTAGCATCGCCAGCACCGTTCCGAAGGAGCCATTCCCGTAAAGATGCCACTGGTGACAGAGGTGCAGCCATGGGATACAAAACAATGTCACAAAGAGGAAATGCCAAATGTGGCTGTGATATTGAACCAAACCCCTGCGGTCCTCACTCCCATGCCTGCATCAGAAGTGCAATCGTCTGTGCCAACGCAACATCTCAGACAATATCAGTAGTTATCAATAATATTGATATAATATATACAATATAATTTAATATAATAGTCATAGTGCAACTCATCATGGACCTGGAGAAAACCTGCCTCCACTCTGGCTGGGCCGACATTGGAACGGTGACCCTGGCACCAAACTCTGCAGCAGCAACTTTCGTAGCGTACTCCTGATCGAAGCTCTCGTCATTGGCAAGAATGTCCAAGCAAATGATAACTCTCTGGATGTCCTTCACGATCGTCGCACCGAACCCGATTTTGTTGACATAGCCTTCGAAGCTAATCTCTGCACTTGCACTCGGTGCTGGCAGCCTGACAGTCCCGATGCCAAAGTCTTGATTGTGAAAAAAGACCAGCAAACAGTAAACAGCAAACACTCAAACACTAACACTAACACTAGAGACACGCCCTCAGTTCCCATCCCGTTTCCATGTCCCGTTACTCTTTCCAGTACCTTATTCATTTCCCGTCCTATCATGCCATATCATTTCATATCATATCCAATCATTATGATTACGACTCATATTTATGTTACATTATTATTAAATTATTGTCGTTTATAATTTATAATATATTTTTAACTACAACGACTATTAGTATCAATATATATATATATTATATTTTATATAATAAATTATATTATGAATATTATGTATCAATGGTTTATATATAATTATATAATACCAATCATAATTTTAACTGATAATATAATTATCATATCATATAGAATTAAATTATATCATATTATTTGATATCTGATGATTTGTTGATGAATACTGCTTTGAATCATACAATCATATGAATCATATGATATGTTCAATCATATGATACGAGACAGAGATATGACTACATGCTCCCGATAAGCCGATAAATAACTCAAGAAAATTTGTTGCCTGTCCACCTGGTCAAAGGTCCGTCATACAAAAATACACTTGTCACTTGTCACGTGTCAAATGTCACCTTTCACATACAGTCACATACAGGCAGTCAGAATCCGAGTGAGCCAAGAAACCATTGCTTCTCATCATCAAAATCTGTTGCTCGCAGCCAGCTCGGAAGCCTCTTCTGAGCCATCTCCACGCTCGCATTGCCTCGCAACTTTTCCAGAAAAAGATCTGAAACTGCCTTAGTCTGCATCCTCAGGAGTTGCATCATCAAGTTGTCCTTGTTTTCCTTGCCATCCTTGCAGTGATCAAGGAAAAAGGCGAGGTTCAATTGGAAGTCAGGGTTCGCCTTCAACTGGAGGAAGGAAAAGAATGTGCTGTCTGGCACCTCATCTGGTCCCAAAGCCAAAATAACCACACAAAACACAAAACCCCCTACTTTCACATTCACATAATGCGCAAGTGATCTCAAAGAATGCCAGTATCTGCCAACTGCCAACGTGACATGCACTAAACGGACGTCAAAGCAAAGTGGGAAGAAACAGTGCGTACAACCACCACCAAAACAAACACAAAGTCCGAAATAACACAATCAACTTTAAGAATTCGAAGCTAGCACTTTCTGCCTTGAACCTTAATCGTCTAAAACGTGGGAACATGTAGCTTGCGCAAAATAATTTAAGCTGAGACACTTCAACCAGCTTCTTAGCAATGCAATGGACCATGTCAGAAAAAGTCGCAGGGTCCTCCAACAGACCTGCTGCACACTTTCCAAGATGGGGTGCAAGCTCTGTGTTCGAAGCAATGTCTTTGGCCAAGGCGTCTGCAGCCTTTGACCTGATGATGCGACAAACTTCCTTGAGGGCAATTGTAATCTCCAGCTTGTCACCCATCTTTGAATCCAACTCCTTGGCCTGGTGCTGCTGAGCCTCTGAGAGCTTGCCGCCACTCAGCATCTTGCTGATCTCCTCCCTGGCTGAGGAGACTCTGGCCAGCCGTCTGTCCAACTCAGCAGAGCGCACAACACTTCTCCAAATTGTCATTGGGCTCAACTCACCAATCAGGTCGAAGGTCTTTTGGTGGGTGATCAAAGAGGTGGCAGAACGGCTATCCTCCTTGTCAGCCTTTGACGGGGCATCTGAACTTTTTTGGACCTTCTTCTTTGGCTGGGTCTTGGCTTTCCCCTTTGCCGCTCGCTTACTCCCAGATTTGCAAGGAGCATCGTCATCACTAACATCATGTTTCTTGCCAAAGCTACTGGAATCACTTGAAGATCCATCATCTGAGTCTCCACTGCCATTTCCAGCGTCGCTCCGGGCGTCATCTTGTTGGAGTGCCCGTTCAACATCTTCCTGGGCAAAGAGTCTGGAATACCATCCTAAATTCCTAAAATCATAAATCCTGATCCTTATATATATAATATAATATATATATATTATATAAATATAATATATATATATATATTATTATTATATTGAATTATATAATTTTATAAATTATATAAATATATAATATCGTTATTTATAATTTATAATTTATAATTTATAATTTATAATTATATTATATTATATTATAAATTATATATATTATATATAAATTATATTAATTATATTATATTCATTATATTATATTATATTATATAATTATATTATATAAATACTATATTAATAGTATAATTTAATATATAATAATAGAAATATAAATATAAATTAAATATAATATAAATATTAATGATCAAGAAAAGTGAATATCGTTCACTCACGTAAGCACATCAGTGTAAATTCATCCTCCTCCAGGGTTGAAATTATGAAATCATCACCCAGCTTCTTTGAGCTGTATTGTGTTGGCCCCACAAAACTCTCCCAAACATGTTGAACACCATCGACAACTAAGTCCATGACCCGCGTGTTGCGCTGGACCTGCACAGAACTTTGAGCTCTTGCGTGCGCCTCTCTTGCCTCTTCCCTTGAAGAATGCTCTTCCTCCTTCACGCGGCTGGCACTTGTCCTGTGACCTGAAAGCATGATAGTCCTGTCATGAACAGGCACGCATTCCACCCCAGTCGATGGATGCTTCACGATCTTCAGATTCATCTTCTCTTTGATGTGCTTACGTCTGTCTGCCTGGGTCTTGAAAGTGATGCCCTTCGGGTTGTTCTCGGGATTGGCGAGAAAGGTCTTCAGGTCTTGAAGTGTGGACACCTGCCACAGGGTTGACGAAACAGGTTGAATAATGTTGAATATGTTTTTGTCCTGTTTGTTATGTTTTGAAGGTGTTAAAAATGGCATCTTCGAAAGAAAAGAAAAAATCAGCCTTGCTGGTGCTCCAGATTGGATACCTTTATTGATTGGATACTGGATCAAGAATCTATGGCCTCCTACCATCCCATCTATCTATCTACCTATCTTTCTATCTATCAATCTAATCTATCATCTATTTATCCATCAATCATACAATCATATCAATCTATCTACCTCCTATGATGGAAGGGAGAATAGGCATTCAATTTAAAAAAAACTCACGGCCCACCGATACCTCTTGGAAATCGACATAGTCTTCTTCAGCGCGTTTGATGAGGTCTTTAAGAGAACATCTCTCATGCCTTGGTTTCCTGCTGGGAAATCAACACTTTTCTCGCACCTTGTCTCTGCGTAAGTTCGTAAACCTTAGCGCTCTTCAAAAACCACTATGCTGTCAGTGAACCGTTCTGACTTAATAAGTAGACTAAGGCGACTAAGACTATAACTTATCATAATGGAACAATGTAGGTAATCATATTATGATATGGACATGGATATGATTTGATATCATAGTCATACATACAGTACAGCACTTACATACGTACATACCATACCATACAGCATACAGTATCAGAATCATTTGTTAAATAGTTTATTTTAATACAACATATAATATTGATCACTGATCGCTGATACTGATACTGACACTGATACGATACTACTGATACTGATACTGATACTGTGCTTACAACTTATGACTACTTATAACTTCTAACAACTTTGATACCCGACATTTTCCACAATTCCAACAACATAAGAATGCAGAATTCATAAAGTGGAATGAACCAACCTCTGAAGTCGTCCAACTAAATCTATCTTTGAAACATCACAATGATCTGGTGACTTCGTATCATCATAATCATATCATATCATTCAATAAAAATAAAAAATGATATTATATAATTAATTATTATTATTATATATATATATAATTTATATAATAATATAATATATATAATATAATATAATATAATATAATATAATATATATTTATTTATATATATATATATAATTTTTATAATTATATTATAATTATATAATAATATATGTAATTAAATGATATTTTAATTTTAATACCAGGAATTGATTCTGATTTGTTTGGTTTGCAGGCACGAACTGGCATCCATGTCCAAACAACCTCGCAAACTGAACCTCGAAAAAAATCAAAACATTTGAAAACTATTGTTTAAACCTTTAACGTGTCCAGGGAGCTTCTCCTGCACGGTTTCGTGCTGACCCATTGCCTCCTTCAGCTCGTGTTGCTTGATGCCATTGAAAGAGCCACGCACTGTGTAGAAACATGCCGAATCCACCGTAGCCCCCTTCTTCACTTGTGTCACAACGACATCATAACCGGCTGGAGCATCCTAAGCCCAAGGGCGATACGCCAGCTTGCGGCATAACCCCCCCAAAAAAAAAACAACAGTCTGCGTGCACTATTTCAAACTACAAGTTTCAACCCCAATCCGAGTCAAATCTCAGCGAACATCTCGATTCAATGCATCAACGCACAACTCAACTGTAGATGGCAGCCAAGAAACACGGTCAGAAGCGCCAAATTCTTGGCCACACAAGTAGCAAGCCGTGCAAGTGGAAGCATCTTCCATTGACACTGTTGGAAACAACCCTCAAGACGTAGATGGCCTTGTAGCAACACTTTTACAGTGCTTTCTCTGAGCTTTGAGCCACCCCTGTTGACAACATGGCCATCACTCACTGTGCATGAGCTGCACCAGATCGTTTCTACTTTTTAAACAAATCAAATCACAAAGCGGCTCCTCAAAATTTAGCCAATGAAGAAGCGCATGAATTTGCAAAACCCTCACCTTCCCATTCAAGAATTTACTCACATCTGACAACAAGTCACACACCCTGCCTGCGCAGGGCAGAAACATTTGTCTTTGAGGTGCCACAACTTCATCTGCGTCGTCAGGGCTGCTCCATAGCCACGTTCGTAAATTCCAATGCCACTGCTTGCACTTCCTTGGAATGTGTTAAATTGTTTGTGGGTAAAAACGGCAGGGAAAAGCTTCACTAACGACACAAGGAACCCAAACAATTTTTCAGAGAGTCTCAAAAACGGTGTCGTGTTGTCAAATCCGGTCAACCTTTTCTGTCAGAGTCACAGTCAAGGTGCCAAGGTCATGTATTAAGTGCAAAAACTGAGTCCGGTCAACCTTATATTGGCATGTTTTTTTTGTGTGTGTGTATGTGCATGCAGGTATGTCAGTACTTTGTCACTTTTTGCCTGAGGCAGTCACTGGCCACATCAATCAGGGTATTGTCCAATTCACCATCTTTTGCCTTAGGAAAATCGCAGCACTCGATCATACTCGATCATACATCTACTATATTTAACAACGCACAAGAGCAAAATATAAACAAAGGACACACAGTATATACAGTACATCCTGAACATACTGCATAGCTAGATCATGTGCATATGATACCGGGCCATGTTGATATCTGAAATTAAGAAACAATTTTTTGCAGTTCTGAAATCAAGTAAACATATGTTTGGGTGACCACTTTGAACTCAGCATTTCATATTTTGTGATCTTACAATAATCTGAGTTGTATATAGTGAAACCGCAATTACAGTCGCATCTCATCATATAGTCATAGGTTTGTAGAAACTAGGTTGTGTGCCTTCCTCCCGTTGAGTGAAAGATCTGAGACCCAAAGCTTTACTGTCTGTTGTACAGTCGGAAGACACAAAGTAAAGAAACAAACGCCATAAAGACAATACAAATAGTTACCTCAAGGTATGGAACTGAAAAAGTACAGCAGGCGTTGCCAAATCCACATGTGTTTTCTGTGCAAAGAATAATTGAAATCGTATGATAAAATCAAGATATTCCTGCTATTCGTACAACATGAATGAACAACTCGAGAAAAACAATAAAATCAAATGATATTTATGCTCAAAGGCCATTACTTAATTTTGCAGTTTATGCAGTCTAAATGTGATTGTGATATCTGAAATTGTTTATTACAATATAATATGCAGTGCACATTAATATGCTATATAATTATATAATTTAATATATTTTAAATTATAAATTATAATTATATAAAATTATAATTATATCATTCTATAATTATATATATAATATATATATAATATAAACTATAACAATTTATAACTTTATAACTTATAAACTTTACTTACTGGTATTACTCAGCAATCGGCTATGATATGATATGATCATATGATACGATATGATGTTTTGTTTTGGTTAGATACTTTCCAGTCTGAATAATCCACAACAGAAAAAACACGTGACCACACAAGATGCAAATGCAGCATCTTAATTTGAAAGAAATGTTTTAAGTCAAAGGCTTTAAGGTGCATTTTAAATGATAATGGAACAGGGATTACATAGTTTCAAAACAAACATTAAGTAGAAGAAACAAGTATTGTGCGCGTAAGGCATTGCATGAAGATATGCTATGCTGACAGCAAGCTTTGATGCCCCTTACATTAAGTAAACAGTAATTTCTCATTATATTATGTCATTGCATGTCATGCCGACTCATTTCATTGCATGTCATGTTGTTTTATGTTTTACCATGCCATACAATATCATATCATGTCAATTCATTATTGAGTTAAGCCGCTGAATTTTTAACTTGAGGTGTTCAAACTGTTTTGAAGTTTTTTATCTGACAAAGCAGGCTGTAGAATTACAATTGAAAAACTAATATGATATATGATATTTTAAAATATTAATTATATAATTATATACATAGTTTAATATTATAATTTTGATTTATATTATATATATATTATATATGATGATGTATTGTACTCGTTCAAGTTAATGTCATAAAACACTTCGATATTCTAGCTTCCAACTTTAACTCATAACTCACAATTTAACTGAAACTTATAGTTATAGCTTACTAAACCGGGCACTTGCTGGAATAAACATGCATCAATAATTTCTACAACAACACTATTTTCACAGTCATATCATATCATATCATATCATATTATTATATATCATATCATATCATATAATATTAAATCATATTATATAGTCTATAGGCAATAGTTAAGATAACTAAATCATACTTTTTAATAGCGCTGACTATGGCCTTTATAGCCTTTAGCCTATAGCGTAAAAACCGTATAGTCTATACTATAGCCTCACTGTATAGTCAGCTTACAACTTTAAACTACTTAAAACTTTACAACCTAGAACTTAAAACTTAGACGATATTGTTAAAAAACAACTACTTGCAAAACCTTTTAGAATAATGCCAGCACGGTATACCGTTTATGGTTCTATGATTATCTAATTGTCGTTATTTACATAAATATATAATTATATATTAGTATATATTATATTATATTCTATTATCATATTATTATATTATATAGTTATCATAATTATAAATTATAATTTAATAATAGTGTAAAACTTGATAAGACTTACTTACCCAATTTATGTTGTAAGTCATGAGTCATGTTTATAACAACTTACAGCTTGAAACTATAAATCAACAAACATATAAGAACAATAATAATAACTAACATATACCGTATATATAATATAATTTAATAATAATATAAATATAATAATAAAACATTTAATAATTCAATATAACATAACTAATAAGATATGGTTATTTAGTGCCTTTTGAATTTGTATACTTATAAGACTACTTATAACTTATATAACTTATAAATTATAAACTTATAAACTTATAACTTATTATAACTTATAACTTATAAACTTATAACTTATAACTTATAAACTTATAACTTATAACTTTGATATAAGTTAAGCTTATATAATTTCTTATAACTTAAGTTATTTTTTAATATTATATCATGTTTCTGGTGCTCTGGGAACGGTTCAGAACGGTTCTTGGCCTTCCTCCTTAAACAACTCAAGAACGGTTCAGAACGGTTCTCCACACCATCGTTGGTGAGAACGGTTCAGAACGGTTCCCGAACTATTTGTGTTTTTGGGCCAAAGTGGCAAGAACGGTTCAGAACGGTTCTTGGTACATTTGCCCAAAATGCCAAGAACGGTTCAGAACGGTTCCTGGAAGTCCCTAATACCAGCTATGTTAAAGGGCATTTTTTTAAACTTATATAAGTTATATAAGTTTATATAAGTACAACTGCTAACTTATAACTTATAACTTATAACTAACTACTTATATTTTTAACTCTGTAACTATAACTATAACTATATTACTATACTATACATTATATAACTTATAACTTAAGTTACTGACTCCTGAAATATAAGTTTAAGTTAGTTAAAGTTAAACAACTTGCACCATGGAACACAAACAATACACACTGATTTACAAAGAAGGTTTTGGTGTGCTGCACTTCCCTTACACATTTCCTAAATAAATGAACCTCGGAAAGCACTCATGTAGAACCAGCCCCTACCACTTGAGCTGCGATGCCAACAGCTTCGCATATTCGATGTCCAATTTCTCCAGTTCCCTCTCATTCAAGCAAGACTTTGCACTGCTGGACAAGTATCTGGAATATGTGCCTCCCTCCTTGGCCATTCCCAGTTGTTCTCTCAGAAACTCAATCTTTTTGGATGCGCTCTGTGTCTTGCGGGAACACCCACCCTGCAGCGAGTTGTTGGAAAACATGCTTTCAGAACCGTTCTGAACCGTTCTGATCCATTCTCTCCATCTTACCGGTCACCCTAAAAATGTGCGAATGCGACAATTGCTCTCACAACTCCAGCCCTGCCAAAGCCTTGGATACCTCTGGAATGGATTGCGTGACCCCTTCGTTCTTGCAGTACTGCCAGCCTTGGATCAGCCGGTGGGCCACATGACAAAAGAAAACAAAAATACACCCCAGGCAAATATGTTTTTATCATCTCGACCTGAGAAAAAGTAACCAAGATGTTGTCCGTAGTTTTGTGAGTGGTAAGTAGTTAGATAAATAGCGGGTTAAGCTATGATATGATTAAACTCTATTTTTTATATATTGACTAATGTTAATAATAACTATCTGTCTATATATTATTATTGATACAACATATTATGTTTTATTGTATAATATAATTTTATTAATATTATTATTTTTATATTATATATAATATATATAAATATAATATAAATATTATCATACTTTAACATTAATAATACGATTAATACTATTATTATTGTTATTATATATCATACGAAAAATGTGATATTATGTTGTTTCTTTAATTTACATTATTAAGTTAAGTTAAGTTATATTATATTATATTATATAAATTATATTATCATATTAAGTTATATTATTGATATCTATATTGTAGTGTATTTGATTTACGATATATGATTATATGATATGATAATTTTATAATTTAATATTATTATTATTATATTATAGTCAGGTCATAGTTAAATAATAAAATAATAATAATATGATTTTATATGATATGAATAGTGATGATGATATGATATATGATTCGTTACAATGATTACGTAGGTTATTGTATCTGGCTGTTCCCATCCATATTACACATTTTGACAGAGAACGTGTTTCATATTCCGTCTTCTGTATGCATTCCATATTAATAGTTAATATAATATGTGTGTCCTTTTTTTACCGCATGAACGATCATTGACGATCAACTTCTAACATCATCACATCACTGTTTTCTGGTTAAAACAACTAATGAAGTGTACAGTTATCACACTGTTATGCCTACAGCTAGACTATGGTTGTTATGACTCTATGCATAGCCTATGAGTCTTTGTCTATGAGTCAATGAGTCATTGAGTGTCAATGTCAATGAGTCAATGAGTCTAATCTTATTTGCAACTCATAACGTAGTTTAAGTTCATATGTCATATGTAACTTAAACCTTTTGTCATCATCAGTCATCACCATCATTATCACACCATCAGTCATCAGGCCCAATCATGATGTTTACCCAGTATTTATAATATTTAGCAAACGCCATGCAGATTCTAGCTGAAACAAATGATCATCACTGACACATGATATGTAACACCATAGTCACCGACTTTCACTCATAAAATAACAGACAACACAATCGTTAACAAAAAGGATCTGAACCAGACACAGGATCACTGAAATTACATTTCACATCATCCATCATACTGGCATCATGACTTTTCTGCACGAACCAAAACCAAAACCACAAAATGCATTGCCAACACCCACCAAATTTTCAAGCGTGGATCAAATTAGTCAATACCTTCTCTTGCCCCCGACAGATTAAACGGAAAACTGCGCAGACTGAACACCATATATTATGTGAAATCACAGCAGGAAAATATTGCGCTATGATATGATGGAACATTAGTCCCACCCTTATTGCCCACCAGAATGTGCTACGCCACATCAATCGCAAGACAATACACATCAATCAAACTAAATGTTCTTTGAAACTTATTCACCACATGAAAAACACCAAGCACGCAAATGTCACATGGGCAAACACACCCCTGCAATTAGGAAACAATCGAGCAAACTGACTCTGTGATGGGAAGCTGGGCATTCATTGGTCACAAAAGCCACAATCTCATCCATAACTGCATCGGTGCAGAGGTCTTTTCTTGCACCCAAGATGTAGCACCTCTTGCGTGCATTTGGAGAACCATAGTCTCGAGACCTCAATCATCCAGTCTGTCTTGAAATGTACCGTAGCCAAACTTTGGAATGCTTTATCTGATTCAAGCTCTCAAAATCATATTGTAGGAAACTGCTGCATTTGTTGGTCAGTCAGATCTGTGTCTCTGTGATGTCCACGTTGCAAACTAAGTTGCTTCAACTCAAGGATTCGGATACGGTATGGTCTGTACTCTTCACCTTCGTTCTGCCTCAGAAGCAGGCAAGTAATTAACAATCCAGTGAAAGCTGAAACTGTGACATACTTGTACACACTGTGAAATAGCATCATATCATATCGCGTTCTGCTTGGACAGGCATGGTCGTACTCCTGACATTGTATTTTCTACTTCATACCATACTTTGTGTGATCATGTGGGAACAACAGTAACAGCATCACCATCATCAATCATCAAGCAATCATCATCATCAACAACATCATCATCATCATCATCACACACCATCATCACCAATCATTCGCCATGAACAGCAAAACACATTAAAATCATGACATGAATCATGAATCATCAACCAGTAACAGTAAAACGCAAAACAAACAACAGTTCGTTCGTTCGTTCATTCATCCATTCATTCATTCATCCATCCATTCATTCATTTATTCATTCATTCATTCATTCATTCATTCATTCAGAAGTTTTATAATTTCAATATGTCACCAATAGTTAATAGTAAACATTCATAATAAAGCATCATTGAACCATTGGAATCATCATCAGTGAATCATCAATCATCATCATTATTTTATTGATCATGAATCATCATATCATAATCATAATTATCATAATCATTCATCATCAACAAGAATCGACAATTTCAGTAACTACTCAGTAACAGTACAGTATAATTACAGTATAAGCATAAATTTTAAAATAATATTATAAATTATGATTTATCATATAATTTCATCATATAAATCATCATAATGAATCATAATAAATCATAGAATCATATAGCATATAGCCTAGCAGTATGTACAGTCTAGTCCAGTATAGTATAGTCTAGTCAGTCTAGTCGTCTACCACTGGCTACTGCAATGCTTTCAATACTAGACTGTCAGCAGTATACTATACAGATGTGGCACATTATTCTTTAGTCATGATGTCCAATGTATTGTTCGCCTTTTCCCAATTTAATCGAATCACGCTGCCAATCCCAGGGTCATGTCTGTAGGCAAGGCAAGAGGCTCTTCATCTGCTAGTCCAAAGATGTATCCATCCTCTCGACCAAAAAGAAAATAATCAATCGGAGCCTCCAGCTGGTAGCAGGTAACACGTAAAACCAGGAAGAACTTGCACAGTAAAAGTGAGGAGTGGAACAAAGGAATGGCACAACATTACACAACGATGTGCATGTATTGTATTGTCTTTTCTCTTCCTGGCTGATACCTAAAGCCTATGGCCTGGTCCCTACTCTTCAGTTCTCAGACATTTCCCCCCCCAACTCGCTGATCGAATCGCCGATTTTCCACATCTCACAAACTTGATGATAGTGATGGGATGGGCGCAGAAGCACCCAAATCGCCAGAAATTAAATGATCAAACGTCGAGCTCTTGAATGACTTTCCGAATTGCAGATTTGATTTCCGCACAGTCATCTTCAGCCAACCTTCCTTTCAAGAATTGCACATCTTTACACAGGTCTGATTCCTCTTGTTGCAAATGCGGGGTGACGCAATGAGAGTGCAAGTAGCTGTGAAACTTGTTGCGCTTAAAAGAAAACCCAAAGCGCACCTCCTCCCTCTGAATTTTCTGAACACAATGCCTGCAAGTTGCGAGCTTGGCTGCAACCTGCAATGATACTTCCATCAAACCCTTGCACCATGTTCCTGCTGTTCGAGATGTGGGCTCCGGGTCCGGGTCCACACCACGTGGACAAAACAATTCACCTCTTCTTTCAATTTGTGATTGGTGGCTCTCGAAAACGTTTTGAATTTCTGCGTCTTCTTTGGCCATCTCTGCACTCAAAATTGGACGCTCTGCCTGATCATCATCATCATCATCATCACTGGAATCACTGTCACTGCTACTTCCACTCACAGAAGAAGAAGAAGGAGATGAGGCCACAGGCGACCTCGCACTGAAATCCGGTTCTGAATCCAGAAAAACTTGATCAGACTTCCTTTTGGATGGTTCATTGCCAATCTTCGGACCTTTCGGCGGTGGAGCTGGAACAGTTTTTTTCCTCTTCCTGGTTTCTGCTTTCAACCCAAAAGGTAACTTTGTTTGAACCTTGGCTGGCTTTGGAACCACAAACTTGTGTGGGTTGCCACTCCTTGTGGCCCTCACCTGTAACAATGGCGCAAACGGGTTCACCATGAACTTGTAAATGACGAAGGACAACTGTGACAATGCATCTGCTTCCGAAGGAACTTTCAACTCTGACCAAATCTGTTGAAATGCTTGACCACTGGTACTAAACACCGGCTGATTGGAAGTCGGATGCAGGATGTGAATGGCGACCTCACCATCTTGGATCTGCAATTCTTGTCCAGGGAACCCTCTCATTAGAACTTGCTGCTTCGGTTTTTTCAAAGCATATGCCAGAAAAAAAACTCGTCTTTCAAACCAGGCCCATGGATCTGAAACAGGGAACCGCATGGAAGCACTCCTTGGATTTGATGAGGTGCTTGGCACCAAAACACTTCAAATAAATCTGTACCTGCATATCACATACTATCATAATATTATCACTTAACCATATCATCAAATCAGATCATCTCGACTGTCATCTACTTATCATTTACCATCTCTTTGGACCTAGCCTATCGTCTACCGAACGATAAGCATGCAACATTGTTTCAAAGAAGTTTCCCGTGGGTTTCAAAACATTGGGGTTGACCCTAGTTTTTTTTAAAAAAAATACAGTGCCAAAAAACAGTTTGAAAAAACACATGTGGTTTGCAAGCCCATTACATTTGAAACCTCCCTTCAAGGGAATTTCTCAGCTTAGGCTTTAATGCAAACAACATCATATGAATCATATCATAACATAATGACAAGAATCCGCTGGCAGCATAGTCTCCCATTCCAGAAACAAGCTTGGATATGGAGACCCTGTTGGAGCTGCTTGCACAGAAACCAAGCGTTGTCCAGCAAGTTTGGTGGTGAATCCCTGCGCAGTCACCTTGCGATGGCAATTTTTGACTATCATAGTCTACCTTCACAAAGTTCTGCCATTCCTGTTGGATCTCCTCGTCACGAGTCTCCGTGTCAATAAAATCCAGATGCAATGCACCATCATAGCTGGCAAGCCCACAATTGTACATAGCCCACTCCGGAGCCTCCCTGAACCTTCGGTATGTGGCCAAAACTCTGTGTCTGGAATTTTTTTTCAAGCTGTTGCGTCCCAAATGACTGGCAGCGTCGAATGCCGCAGGGGAAGTCCCATCTTCCGGGCAATTTGGAATGGAAGAATGGCTGCCTCTGGATGCAAACGGCTGTTTGCAAGCCTCACGCCTGAGTCCTTCTTCCTCCGCAGCTTTGGCAATGTAACTTTGCCGCTCATCCTCGCCCAATCTGGCCCATTTGTCTCTAGATTCACAGAGCTTCGAACGCCACTCATCTGGAGTCAGCTGCTGCTTCTGCATCTGCTCACGTTGAAAAATATTCCATCCTTGGCTTTTTGATGGCCGCGTGGACTGGGAGTATCATGGATCCATGTTCAATCTATGAAAAGTCATATCATATCATATCAATATCATTTCATAATCAAATCAAATCATATATCATATCATATATCATATCATATATCATATATCATATATCATCATATATGATTCATACACATCACATATGATTCATATTCATATGATATATGATAAGCCTATAGCGGCTATAATCATATCAGATTCCATATGACATCAAACGTGAAACATAAAATATCAACTCAAATAAAAGCATGCAATGAAAACAAGATTCCTGACAACTTCCGTAGGTCTGGCAGCTCCTGCTCAAATGTCACCATGCGGTCCAACTTCTCCAGACTGAAGGTATCCTTGTTTGTGCATTTTTTCATCCTGGAATGATGTCCCGCATGTTGTGAATACTGGTTGCAAGTCTTGAGGCCAAAGGTAGATACTCTGGTCCAAAAACCTTTGTCCAGGAATCGATTTGTCATCCATGAATGGAATTTTTCAAAACCGCTGCAAATTGACATCCACAATGTTCTCTCCTGAGCGACCGGGTCTGTAACTTTGCATCCCCTCCACCTGTATAGCTGGCATTGGGTGAAGCCGTGATAGCATTCTACCACGTCTGTGGAAAGCGGCGCATTACAGCACAGACTGTATAAGAAGCGTTTCAAAACGCCAATTTGTCCGGAAACACCCTCTTCACTCAAACAGCATTCGGGCGAAATGAAATTCAGAACGCCTGTAGAGAATTCACAATCCACACATTTTGGACATGTTGTCATGACATTCTGGAGCTTCTTGTACTCGGCAAGGAAGTCTTGATCATTCTCAATGTCGACCAGCTTGAAAATAGGATAGGGAAAACCATGAAATTTGAAGGAAAACCTGCGCCAATGCTCCCCCATCCCTTGAAGTGCCAACCGGAAATATTCTGTCGCAAGTTCATTGCAGCCCAGGCGAGGAAAATTGTTCAATCCAAGGACGTAGTCAGATATGATCGACTCCCCCATCTGACCAGACACGAACTGCTTGAAAATTTCAGCTGACCTTGGATCCGAAGGATGAACAAACTGGGTTGGACACGTCATCATGTCCATCATCAGAAACATGCAACATAAATCCCAGAGTCATGAGTCCATCAATACGCACACGCAAGGGAAACACCTGGTAAATGCATGTATGAAATATGGAATGTAGTGTATCAGTATCACAGTATCAGTGTCAGTGTATTTTATACTACTGTTCACCATTCCATGTATCAGTGCAATATCAAATTGGCAATATCAATTTTCTAAATCTATCTCAGGTCTATCTCTGATTATCTTGTCTTAGATATTGTACAGGAGTACAGGAGTGTGAAGGTGAGCAATGAACAAACCTAATTGCCAAACAAAACCGCGTGACAAACAAACAGACAAGAAACTTCTTCTTCATTTCGTCCAACGTATCCAAAGATGCAGTTTCAGATACGTGCTTCGCTATGGCTGACAAAATCTCTGTCCTTCGGAAGAGGACGTTCATCATGGCGACATTTGGTCTGAGGAGACTGTCCAACGCAATAGGCTTTTGACTGATTGTGCTATCCCTAAATGCTTGGAAAGTCAGAAGCTTTCGTTTCGTGTTGACCTGTGCATATGACTGGCTGTCATCTTTGTCTTCTCCCACATGTTTCAGCAAAATGGAAGCCCAAGATTTCTCATCGTTCCTGCGAGTCTGATGAGAACCATCCTCTTCATCGGAACTGTCTGGTTGCACTTGAGCATCGGACAGAGCTTGCAATATTTCGGCCACCTTCTGATCGTGAAGGTTGCTCTGCATAGTTGACTCAGAAAGCCTTTGCAAAGTCCGAGGCAAGATATCATGCAAAGCGCATCCCTCCTGGCATGATTTCAAATCAGAATCCAGTAGCCAACCTGTCATCCATCCTAAAAAACTGAAAAAATGTTTCTGACATACCTTAACTCCGAAAACATGGAGAGCTGGGGCACACTGAAGACACAAGAAACATGTTCTGACACCTGAGCACAACAAGACAAGTTTCCTTCACATATTCGTTGGCCCGTTGCGCATGAACCCAGCGGTATAGAAGCGGAACTGGAAAGCCAAAACCGAACAGGAGGGTATAATATTTACAGATCTGTGTCAGCGCATATTTCTGTTTTGCTTCAGCCGTTTGTCCAACACAGCAGCTGCCTCGGCACCAATGTGTCACAGCAATGTGGGAAGAGTCACCGTTGTCCCACGTTGCCAAATCCCTGTGGATCCTGCTTCGTTTGGATTCCTTCATATGCACAGCCTTTCCGAAAATAGCATTCCGTTGCTCACGCCACTCAAATGCTTCAATTGGTAAATCCACAACAGTGATGCAAGCAAAACTTTCACATAGGACATGCACCATGGAAGCCCGGAACTGTTTGCGGAAGTTTTGGTTCTCAAAGAGGTGGCCCAAGCGAACCACAGACGACCAGAAGTTCCCGAAACCCAGTAGCAAAGGGTTTCTTGCCAATGACAATTGGTGAAGTAAGCAGCATTGTGCAAACAGTGGGTAGAGAGTTCTGTCTGCTGTGTTGTTCTGGCGCTGGAGATGAACGGCTTCTCTAATCAACTTCAGCATTGCAAGATTGCTTTTGAGAGAGTCAAACATCAGAACCACACATTGTATGGGTACCATCTTTGTCAAGTCGGACAACAATCCCCACCCACAAAAGATGTCTGGCACTTTCCCCAGAAAACAAAGCAAACGTGACATAAACGCAGAAGTGATGCTGTTCCTGTCGCTCTTTGGAAGACATATCATGGGAGTGGGCACAAGGAACCATTTGTGGTGGCACCGGTCTCCTCCTTCTTCTCCGTTTCCTTTGTGGCCCACGACAAAGGATTGGATATTGTTCATGACACTGACAACGCGAGAAACCCGCCAATGACCCATTGCTCCACATGGAATCTCTGACAGTCGCACGTTGGTGTCGTCCACAACAGAAACCAAAATGGTATGTTCCACTGTGTTCGAAACCTGAACAAAAAAACTCATGACGGCTTGGCACCATCCTTTCATGTAGCTGCACAACAGCCTCAAACGTCTCAGTCTGACATTGTTGCACCCTGGTCTGTTGATTTCGCTTTTCGCTCTGCGATCATTCCTAAAGCGTTCTGCCGGGTGGTCTGGGGGCTTTAATGATGCCTGTTTTCCCAACTTTTTCATTACCTTCACTTTCAAAGCAGCAGCTCTTCCTTTGGCTGTCTGTTTTTGTCTCTTTATCTGCCTTCTAAGAATTCGGGGATCAGCAGCTGGAGATTCATTTGAAGAATCCGTGCTGCCATCACTACCACCCACATCTGACTCATCACTACTTGAATGACGTTCAGCCGACTGTCCATCGCTCGACTGGCTGGAATTTGACCACTGCCAAAGGTCTGACAATGGCATTGCCAAGGAGCCGCCAAGACATGGAACTGCTCTACAACTATCGCACCCCTGCCAAGATACTGGCTTGTTGGTACATGTTCTTCAAATATGGTTTGTCATTTTTTGAAATGACAAAAATCTGGGATGTGATGTGGGTCATAGAACCTGCGATCCAAAGTCAACTCATCCAAAAATGAGTACAATATCTATGAACTCAACCAATAATGAGTAGCTTAGTGTATGATTATGATATGATATGATCCTGTTTGTATGTGTAAGTGTCTATAACCGTGCTGTACTGTATTTAAAATGTATATTAGAATGTTTTTGCAATGTTTTTTGGACGCGCTTTGCCCCTCTTTTGACGAAACATTGCCAGTGTGGAATACAAAGCAATGATCTGATATGCCATGTCTGATCTGGAGCATGCAACCTTTAAAAGTCGCGCCTTGACAGTGAAAAAACATAAACAAGTTTCACGACATTCCCACTGCCCTGCTGCCTTGTACTGTTTGAACTCATCTTGCTGAAGTGGGGGGTTGAAGCCCTTCAGCAGATCCACCACCTAGGTGTTCGATGAAAAAACGTGCTGATCAAAACTTAGGGTTGTTCTTTCAAAAATGAAATTATCATCTCAATAATCACGTGCTAAGCTGCTAGGGATTTCCATCCTTCATCCGTTCCATTGCATGGAAACTTGGGCAAAGGACTTAAACAAAGAACGTTGCACGCTGCTGGCAAGCAACTTCCTCTATCACAAAACATCTCGGGTTCAAGGTGCGAATCTTCTTGAGGCAGCACCGAATTGCACTTGCCTCTGGCCTTGAAGAACGGCCATTCAAAAGGGCAAACTGCAAGAAGGACACAGTGACTTCCAAAAGTTCACACAAAATCTAAGCCGCTCCGTTTCCTGTCTGTGTTTGCATACCATGTTTGCCAAGTCGCTGCAAAAACGGGTTCCATCCCTTTCCTGTGCCCCTTGTTTTCTGATTCAACCGCGAAAACAGGGGGCAGGGAATGCCCATGACAGCTAAATCCGACTGCAGGGTGTCCTTAGATGAATGATCGACCATGACCCTGAAACACAGCGGCGAAAACTTAAGCCTCGGCCATTCAACAGTTTCAAGTGCCAAGGGTCGATGCTCTGATCGTGCTCACACTGGCAAACGTGGCAGTAGGCTGCTTCCTCAAAGTTTGTCACGTCTGCATAGAAGTGTTGCCCTGAGTTCCAAGCAAAGAAACTGCAACCCTGTCGACGCCCAGAACCAACTAACCCTGACTAAAGAACTAACACGAACACACTTAAATTCGAGGTTGTCATTCGTGGTAGATATAGTGACATGACATGATTCGATCACGTTTGGTACAACTTATGACTCATGACTTTTGACTCATGACTCATGACTACTTATGACTATGTGACTATGAACTCATCATATTATGATGTTATGTTATGTTAATGATCCAGGATGTGTTCTGCTCATAGAATACCCCCCCAAAAAAATGGAATACCCCGTTTCATCACCTTGCTTCTATAGTAGCCACTGGAAGGCATAGGAAACATGTTGCAGCCAAGAAGCAACTCCCCTGTCTCAAGCACCAATCCCTGGCCTTTGGGTCTATCTCGTTGCTGAAAAGCAGGTCAGATTCCAACCCGCAGGATTCACTGAAGTGTTTCCTTGGCCACCAAAACAGAAACCAGAGAGAGAGAGAGAGAGAAAATCTTTGAGACCAACCATCAAACAAGTTGCTTGCACTCTTTAAACACCATGTCAAAAACGTTCAAATTAGTTTCACTGCAAAGAACTGAGTGGGCCAGTTCAGGTGAGAAACATCAAGTAGGCCACAATGCCTGTCCCTTCGCAGCATCCCCAGACACGAATCCTAGCCAAGCAGTGTGAACGCGTCACAGAAACAAAACAACCCAAACACTTCACCAGAACTGAAACACGTTGGATCTTGAAATCAACGAATCAAATGCGTGAGCATCCTTCCCTCGCTGTCCTGCGTCCCATCAGAACATTGAAGTCGGGAACGTCCAGATTCAGCAGTGTCACATACCTGAGAATAGACAGAAATACTAAGGAATGTTCATTCTATTGTGGTCGCGTTAGTCGTCGTCATAAAGAATATTAAAATGACTATCTCATCCTGGAATCCTGGAATGAATAGATTCTTTTGAAACTGGTTTGAAATGATAAAGTATTTTAAAAGTATAAGTTTGTTTTGCCAAACAGTCGTGCAGAGGTTTCCTTAATGACAAATTCCTCAGGTCAAAGCAATGGGATTTCAGTGGAGTTTATATTTTGAGAGTGTCAATAAGTAAGGAGCCAAGTTGCCTTTCCATCCATTTTCTGGGGAAAACACTGAACATATTCTGTGGTTTCACGGTCTTGAAGGCAGAGTCCTTGGTTCACAAAAGAGGCGGGAACCTTGAAACACACACACCTGTCCCGTGACCATGTTAACATGTTGTTTACCGTGTTCAAAAATAGTATCCACGCAGTATCCAGTATGTAACATGTAACGTATCAGTGTATCAGTATCAGTATCAGTAAGGTAGATCATGCCAACATCAGGTCCATATCAATATTAATGGTCCATCACTTCTTTGTGATATCGAAACTAAGTTGCTAATCTGATTACACTAAAACTACGCTGAATTTTTGAACAACTATGACTCAGGCTATTTCAGTTCGTACAGATTATCGTTCTATTAAATTTATTCTCAAATCAGTTAACGTCCTTCTACTCCATAAAGTGTGAATCATGCCAAAAAAACATCAAAATCCATCCATCGCAGAACCTTGTGTTACTTGCACACAAATGTAGCTGAGTCTCATGGTTGTGCTCATCGTCACTGCTGTCATCCGGATCATCGTTCACGGAAGTCGAAGAAGAGCTGTTGTCAGAGGAAGTGTTCTAGCCGAACAGTGAGGATAACATCTGGGTTTGCTTCAAATTGGAATTTGGATCCCATCATGAATCATGGTTCATATGGTGTGACTAGTCCAGCGCAAGGAACTACGAAATTTTATTAAGTGTTATAAGTTATAAGTTATAAAGTAAGTTATATTTCATGATATTAAATAATATTTTATTATAGTTATATTTATATTTATAATTATATTATTTATAATTATTAATTAAAATTATAATTATATGATGATACTATTATTGATATATTATATGAAATTGTATATATGAGATACTGAGATATTAAACTGGCATTAATTATCGGTACCAGTAGTACCGCACAAGGCGGTGGCGGAAGTTTCAAAAATAGGAAACCTATAGGAGAGGTTGGTTGTTGCGAATCAGGGATGGCAGAGCGAAGCCACTGATGGACCGAAAGGTGCTTGAGGTCTCCTCTCTGTCTCTCTCTTTCTCTGACTATCTACCTACCTACCTACCTATCTATCTATCTATCTATCGATCTATCTATCTATCATTCTATCTATCAATCTATCTATCTGTCTATGTATCTATTTATCTATCGATTAATTATTAATTATTATTATTATATGATTATGATATTATATATTATATTATTATTGATATATTATATGAAATTGCATATATGAGATACTGAGATATTAGATATTAAACTGGCATTAATTATCGGTATCATATCCTATTCATATGAAGCAGCGCAGCGTGCCAAACCGCCAGCGGTCCTTGCTCACCTTCTTTCAAGTTGTGCCCACTCCCAAACCTTGAAATTCCGGGAGCACCACCACGCGTGCTTTCCATGGTGTGGAGCCACCGTTTTGCCAAGCCAAAGAAATCACTGACAGCGTTGAAAATCACCTCCCTTTTCGGGATGGTGCTGCCTGGCCAGCTCCCGTCATGCGGCCTTCGTCTCTTGCAAGGCACCTTCCCGGGCCAATCCGGGCTCAACGCGCCAACTGGAAAGTTGCCAAATATGTAGCCCGCTCCGTAGTCAAAGCAAATTACGTTTTGGTGACTATGGCTGGCCATTTCAAAAATAGTATTTTCATTTTATCCTGCTGTTAACGTTCCGGGGCTCTCACATTCATAGACTCCTCGATGAATAGGAAATAGATGCACCTGCACCACTGTCCAATCGTTGAGTACCCCAAAGAGTCAATAATTAGACAAATCATAAGAATAGAGTTTACCTCAGAATCAGAATAATGATGAATAACATACCATTAAGTTAAATGTCCCGCATGATTTGCACAAACTATGACTCAGACAGAATATGATTGAATGAAACAATGTGTTTACCGACCAGCCAATCATTAATTTCATGAACAAAACATAGCCCCTGCATACTCGCACTGCATAACTTATACTTTCCACCCCTTTTTAATGTTGACAGTTGGATCCTCTGAGTGGGAACCGGCCATGACTTTCAAATGTGGTGAAAAAACACAGTCTGCACAGGGCAAACTAGAAATTGTATTCAAGGGTTAGAATTTGAGGAGTCGGATCCAATTGTAATCCCAACTATGTCTTGGGGTCTACCGCTACATCAAATCCTCCAATATTATATTGTCATAATTCATGGCTCTCATAACATAACTCATCTCATAACTCAAAATAAAATAATAACTACTTAAAAGGCTGAGGATCAGTTTCTTGAGCAGTAACAAATGTGATGTCCCCTTACTGCCCCTTACACCCTATTTTATGAAAATGATTTATCATGTATGGTCCGGTTCGTGATTGATATTTAAATATGACAAGATCTGATATTCAAAATTGACCCCTTCAGAAATTCAACTTGCCACACATCAAATTACTGGCGCAGCCTTCAAGGCCAAGGATGCAGTTTCTTGGTGGCTATATAAATTTGAATAAAGGCCCATCTATAAATTCTAACTTATTTCGATAGCCTATAGTCTTCTGTGGATCCGCCAAAGCGACCGTTCATGATGCGGTCAAAACGCAACATCCGTATCCTCTTCAAGCTGCGAAGCCATTGCAACCAGCAGGGGTCGCGTACGCGAGACAAGTAGTGGATTGTTTTTTTTGCTCTACACCTGGAAGGGTCTAGTAGACTTACTTTTTTAAATTACTGTTACTGCCTGCTAATTAGTCATGTTTACACCGCAGACTCACAGGGCCTCAGTAGACATGTTGTGTGTCTCCAGGTCACTGTGTTTTATCAGCGAAGCGAAGCGAAGCGAAGCGAGTCGCAGTGTCTGCGTTTTTCACCCTTAAGGTTTTGGTCAATTTTGAAATTCTAAGTTCATCTAAGGTTGAAGTATCTCATGTGTTTATCGTCGTCATTAAGTGTACGCTGTAGTCTGGTAGTGGCAGTGGTAATAATGAGATCAATGCACAGGTTGTGTTTGGAAACGCACTGGTGAACGCAATAACCAATGGGCCCCGATTGAACTGTTGTAGCATTTGTTCTTTTTATATGTTTGGAGTTCGGTAAATTCGTTTGATATTCAGAGAAATATCATATGGGAAACATCCTAACTCATTCCAATTTCAATGAAAGAATTGTAATCTAGCAAATATGAAATCATAATGTATGGTATGTGTTTGCACTTTCATGAATCAAGAGAACGAAAATAAACATAAATTATATTTTATTGAAAATTATTATGCATTTACAGTCTGATGCCCTTAGTAAATCAGGATGTGGATGTGGTTTTGAAGTTTGTAAACATACCATACTGGACAGTTACAATAGAACATCATATCATATCATAGTCAGAGTCATAGTATAGTATAGTATAGTATAGTATAGTATAGTATAGTATAGTCAGTACAGTATAGTATAGTCTATAGTTGTTAAAATAATGATTATCTGATTGTGGCATTAAAGAGGCCAAGGGTATCATAGATACAAACCTCGCTAATTGTTAAATCACTCCTGTGGACCCAGGGATTCTTAAATTGTATATTTAGATATGTAGCCTCTTTATAGGATCCATGTAAAATTTTCCTAAATTTTCCCCTTGGGAACCCCTAATCTTTAACATGATCTGTTACGTGATCTATACCATGGAAAAGCCATCCTACGGACCCTCTAGGGACCCTCCAACAGAGTTGAGGCTATAAAGAGGCTACATATGGAACAAAGCCATAAGTTTTTTTCCGGTCTTTATCAGAAGCCAGCTTCAGGAAGCGGCTTCTAGACGAAGCTTCCGTTGATACATTGCTGGCTTGTGAAGATCTCCTTAGGCGGAAAAGGCCTGCGAGTTCCACTGGCCACAGCTCTCAAAATCGAAATCCGACAGGATCGCAAGTTCGTTGCTTGCAGTGCCAAGTCTGTGGGGGCAACTGACCTGGTGCTGCTAGCAGCGCTAATCCAGTGGAGCCTTGGAACATCTCCAGGTTGGCTTCAGGTGAGGTGGCAAGCCGGGGTACGGTGTGCATCCCGTGCCGTTGGTCGCGTGATCACGGAAAACCCAGGGATCAGTGGCCTCACTGGGAGGCATACAGGAGCGGGCAATGGCAGCCGACCAGAAAGCGACCTGCTCCAGCAAACTCGGGCATGTAATCGCGCAACAAGCGCATGGTGACATTCGGAATTTTGCGGTTCACTTCCCCACCAAGAAGGCTGCTGATCGAATTTGTTTTGTTCCTCCTGCTCGGAAAGATGTAGCCGATGCTCTTTTGCTACTGTGTCAGCGACAGGAGGGCAAATCACAATCAGATCTTCAAAAGCTTTGCGCTGATAAGAAGAAACAATGGTTGAAGCATGGGGTACCGGTAGGGGATGAGACTGGAGCAGCTTGGCCTAGCAAGCAGTGCTTTGTTGGCATTATAGCAATTAGATGAATCGGAGCGGCTGTATAAGCCGCATATTCAGGCAGGAAGGTATACACATGCAAAAGTAGTTGTTGAATAGTTCAGGTTTCAGATATAGATAGAAACATGTGAATGTCTATAAGCAGGGCTCCAAATAATACGTGTAACCTACATATGAATATGCCTTCGTCTATGCTTACATGTCAAAATTCTTACGCATATGCTTACATATGAACATATCTTCATATTCATTCTCCTCTCTCCTCTTCTCTCTCTCTCT